TCATCACTCCTAAGCATATAAATTCCCAGCCCACCGCTGCTGGATCCAGGCTGTGTCGAAAACATCGACAACTATCAGCTCCTATTAGTACCTATCCGGTAAGAGCACAGTAGTATAACAGCTCTAGCAGAAACGAGCGAGTCATCAGTTAATTGAAGTACTTCTGCAGGAACATAGCAGCGTCTGTCAGCAGTCACCTATGCAGCTGTGATCGGAAAGTTTTGAAAAGTCGCAAGTTATGACCAAAGCGTTTCTTTACTATCCAATTAACGTGCGAGTAGTCCGCATTTAAAGATATCTTGTGTGTTGTGGCTTGACAAGGACAGACTGCCCGCGACCACTGTCAGCCAAAAGCTGATTGACATTGTGTATTAACTCACGGTATCATTTGCGTACAGGCGCTTATGTCTATCATTGCATTTTATCATGTTTGACGATTTATCAATTGGGGACAGATAGTTTAGCAGCTATTGCCGAGGTTGTCCTTTACGCCAGTTCCATATAATCGAGGCCACTTAACCAAACCTAAAATGTATGCTAGTCGCAACCGGTATTTATTGCCGTTCAAAAATTTGCTGAGGTTGTCGGCAAGTCATTGTGTTTCCTTCGTTGTAACTGGTGCTGTTTGCTGATACGAAACTTGTCAATGGCCTTGACAGCACAGCGGCGAACTCGTATTCGACGCCCGCTAAAAGCGCCACTACCATCGGCAACAGCGGTTATGGTTGTCGTAGTGGCAATGTCCAGTTCATTTATTTAGTGAGCCAGTCGCTGTTGTCGTCGTTGGGGGGATGCTTGGCTAACGCTGGCTGAATGCTTGATCGCTGCTAACTGGATTGTGGCCGCCTGGTGCTGTTTTTCGCTGACGACGACGCTGATGATGATGGGAGCTCGGCAGAAATTACGGAGTGACTAAGGAAGCGGTGTAAACGTAGGCCATAATAAACATAGACCGCAATGGAGATAGTGTTGTTTTTGGTTACTGTGCGTTGCCCGATGAGTTTTTTTTGTTATTAGTGCTAGGTTTTTCTAGTTTAGTGTCAAACGGTACCCACTGGCAAAGGACAGCCGAACCAGTTTGGTAGGATAGTGATCAGGTCTACAGATGTCGAGAGTGCATGAAGAGAACAGGAATGATGTGCTAGCAGTAGTGATCAAGTAGTGTTTATGGTCAGAAATCTGTACTGTTTCCTGTTGTCGGTAATGTCTGCCGACTAGAGGGTCTCCGAAGAAATCAGGGATTGTCAAGGTTAGGAGCAGGCCTTTCGCTGTAGCATGTTCAGTACATCTATGATTTGCTGTCGTGTCGTATCGTATCTAGTGAAGTTGGAAGCTATGGATGACATTTGTTTTGCGTGCGTGAAAACTTAATCACTTCATTTCAAACAGCACCCTTCATTCGCTTTCAGCAGATGTAGTCAATAGATTGCGGCGTTATCTGGCTTCAGGTGTATTTAAATTTGTTTATGAATGTGACGACATTCCTGCTCGGCTAATGTTTGTGGCACGGCTATTTCATCGTAACACGACTGAAACACTTTAGCGAACGAATCTTGCTTGTCCTTTGTAGAGGAGGATTATACGAAATGTGGATCGTCCTTTAGAGCTGTGAGAGTTCTGTTCACCGAGCACTTGCCAAATATCGTGTCGTCGTCGTCGTCGTCGTCGTCGTCGTCATCGTCGTCGTCGTCGTCGTCGTCGGTAGTGGCTTCATCGTGTCGGTGTCCCCGGACTCGCTCGCCAGCCGCTAGTAGACGAATATACGATTGACTCAGCTCCTTAACATCCCGGAGCTACCTTCAGTCTTTCCAAAACGAGAAACACACAACGTACAGAATCATAGGCGTTCATAAACGTTTGCACGTTTCATTCGTCTGATGGTGTCGTCATAGTTTTCATCAGCGCCAATTTCGCCCACTTTGTTTCTATTAGGTTGTTATTGTTAGCTTGTATTGGTGCTTCTTGCCGCAAAATAAAGCCGCAACAGCTTCCCTTTGGGATTTTCTATTTGCACGCTGGTCATAGAAGCAACAACAATCCAGTAATAAAAGTTGTAACAATTATCCAACGGCAGATCGCGGCATGCACAAGTATGGTCTTGTAATATCGCAAACGAAATCAGCCAAGTAGTCCCAAACCTAATATCGAGTTGGAAATTCTCATCTAACGAATTAAACCTATGGTAATGGTACAGTTGTTATAACTATCTTATCTACATTATAGCCGGCTTCCACCTGTACTTAGGTTTTATAACGACAAGCTACGAAAAGCAAACGTCAATTTCGAACAATGTGCTCTCCAAACCACTCGTGGACCGTTTGGGATTAGTCATTTGGCTGGTAACAGCGGGTTTCGAGCTATCTCATATCACAATAACAACAACCCATGCACGAAACGTAAACGTGCTTATGAATAGTTTTTAAATTAGGTGCACTGTCGTTTGCGTGTGCGTGCGTCTCCGGGGTTGTTGTCTGCGTTGGGCAAAATTAGTTGTTGGTAGAGCGATGCTGCTCATCTAAGGTCTTACCGATTCGACATGGCAACAAAAAATGATTGATTGCTGCCGCTGTAGTGTTTTACTGAGCTCGCTGCTGGCATTTATAATCGTTTTCGTGTTGGTGGCCACGAAAGATAAATAACAAACATAAAGAATTACAATGTTGTTGTCTGTTGTGCGTTGTTCTCTTGTAGACTTTTTGAAGCCTAGTAAGAACGCTTTTGTAAACGAATTGGCTAGCTAGATTAGTAAACAAATTCAGCCCGAGTGTCGAAATGTATGTGCTTAGAAGAAGCAGTTAATTATCCTAGCAGATATAGACAATGTTAAATATGTAGGAAATATATTTCTTTCGAAAAGTGTAATATCGCTAAAACGTGCTTGCAAAATGGTGACAGGATAGTAGGGTTGCCCCGAAGTAGATAGGTGTGCGCCAAGTGTACAGAACGTAGCCATTTTCTCGCTTTGTCGGCCAAATATTGTTAAGACTATGATCTTGTCGATTATTTATGATGGCTACTGAGTAAGCAATGTAGCTCAATCTAAACGATTTCATGGGTCAAGGGGAATATAACCTACTTTGTCACTTGAGATTGGAATAGGTATTGGGCAGTTCATAGAAGTAGATTTAATGTGCCCTCGATATTGGTATTTGTACGCGAGTCGATATACGTGTAAATTCAATACGAGGCAGAACCTACAGTTGGTTACACGTTTGAAATCAAGCGTCGTTCGGGGAAAAGGCGGGCCAACTTATTTATTGCTCGGTACAAATTTACTGCAGCATTTATAGATTGCGATTATTTTTATCACTTCTTTTGTTCTGTTCCCTGTATGGTTTTTCCCAAGTACTCTTGCGATTTGTTTCGTTCCAAAGGAGCAACAGAATTCATCCGGCTGATACTTACGAACTGACACAAAACTCAACCTATTCTTGGGAAAATAGTAAAATTTAATTGTTTCGAAGTACGCTGCAGAAAAAAAAGTGATGTTCTTGTTAGGCTTTACATAGTTCGTAACAGAAAATCGGCTAGCCTGAAATAAAGGTTATGAATATTTTACGATAGGTCGTCTCATAAAATGAGTAACCTGTATGCTTGGTCTGAAACTCAAATATTTTACCTCTAGATTGGAAAGTTTTCTCGACCAGTTAATTTTTTAATAGTTAAGACTTACCGCATCTCAAATTCTTTTCGTCTTGAATTATATAGATTTCTATATTTATATAGATAGGTCTGCCATGATTGTGGATGATGACATGAACAATGTGTCATCCCTGTGTCCAAGAAAGAATTCATGACGTATTGCTGCAGCTTGCTTTAGGATGACATGCGCTTGGAGAAACGCACTGGGATTTCGAACTTAGCTTTGCGTTTTCTTCAAAGATATTAGTGCTCCTGTGGCATAGGAATCGTTCGTTTTTTTTTCACACTTCAGCCCGAACCTTACAATGATTGGGAAGCTATCTAGAATTATGCTAAATACCTATATATACATAGATCAGTCAGTAATTGATTCAGAGCTTGCGGCAGGGTCGTCGCGGTAGATCTGGTACCAAATAAGATGGACATATTAAGGCAAGGCACAGCTAACTTTTACTATCATTAAACTCTGGCATTGGCTCAAAAAACATCACAATTCTCAATGATAAAACATCAATTTCGATCTTTCCTTTTACAAGGCAAATTTACGAAGTGAAGAGTACCAATAGTACTGGTACCACTGTTCGTTTATATGCAAAAGAGAGAGAGAGAGAGAAAAAAAAAAGGTTAAGTGACCTTTTTATTTATAGAAAGTTGAAAAAGGATGAAAATCGTCAGCTCCTAATTGTCGCCAATAGAAAAGGTTCCACACGTAGTGTATATGATTTTTAGGTTCAGTACTTATTTGGTTGGATGATATCGATATGAATGCACGATCATACAGTTGTCGTAGTTTATTTTACTATTTCATTTAAATTTTGAAAAATCAATGAAGTAACGGAGTCTTTAGTGAAGTCCAGTGGAATCGTACCATTTTTAACCGTTAACCGATCCCAGCGCGCGTTCTACCCTAGAGTTTAATAAGAATTCCTCAAACAGTAAACGGGGTCTCTGTTTATATAAAAGCAAATCTCGTATTCTGTTTACTGTACTGGCCGTTATGTTTACAACACTTTTACCTCGTAATATGGCGACGACACTTGCTAGATTATTACTACTGCAGAGTCGTCTATGTTTTCACACAGAATAGAATAAAGGGGGTCAAGTAAGAATAAAAGGGGAAAATATTTTGACAGGGTAAAGTCATTAAGGGGATTAAGCTACTATAAAATTGCGTAACGTTTTTTACGCGTTATTCAGAATGCTATAATTGATATATCGATGCCACTGGCTTAAATATGTAAATCGTGAAATACAAGCCGGGCAGATTTGGTACACTTTGAATGCCGCCAAGTACATTGTAAAGCAAGATAAAAGTAATGTATTAATATCTTTGGCTTTCTATGGGTGGCATGTTTCAGATTAACCCGTCTCGATTTACTGAGCCATCATCAAAAAAACGTGATAAGACAGCAGTAGCCTTTGTCAAAGGTAGTCGACTTGGAAGTCGCTTGTGAAGCGGCATCCTTGTGCATTTATAAAACATCATCATGCCTCAGGAGGAAAGACAACCTCTTTTAGGGCCCAACAATCAATCGACTAGTGGGCCCACCAGCAAGAACACCAGCTACATATCCGAACAAACTCGCAATGGTAAGTTAAGACCTTAATATAAGCTTATTTCTGATGCCATTTGGATAGTCTGAAGAAATTTGACCAACCTTCTACTAAAAATGGGTATCGTAGAGTATAGGCCTACTCAATATTTTTCGTATTCGACAGAAAGAATAGCTTGTGATGGCGTCAGTATTTCATACCGTAATTTGGGTTCCGAAAAAAGTGGATGCTGGACTGGTGACAAAACCTGATATGAGATTTCGAATAGGCGATTATCGTATTCGTTTATAGTAGTGGTGGTTGTAAAAACAACGATCGGTTTTTTTTATTCTTGAGTGGTTGCATTAATAAGGTTTGATATAGGTGCATTAAAAACAAACACGTGTTTGTTATGCATCTCGTTGTTGGATCCTCAGATGTTACTAGACCCATTACCTGTCTCTTCGCTAATAGATAAATCCTCAAAGACAGTTATCCGTTTAAACTTTAATGATGCCTTTGTAGGTGGTGATCGTGCTGGGCCCAGTGCTAGTAATCGTCGGTACGAAGAAAATATTGCTCAAGTCGAGCTGCCGCCCGCGTTAATGCCACAATCGCCTCCATATGGGTCGAAGATACCCTGCAAGGTACATTGGTATATTTATGTTATAGAGCTGGTATTTTTATCGTATATAATAAATGGAATTTTTTTTTTATTTTTCAAGTTAGTGGGTTGAGTTTTGCATACTGAACACTTGAGGTTCAATATTTAAATAGCGTTTTTGATCTGCCCTTTTAAATACTGCTTTAGAAACTTACCGTAGTTTGCTGGCCTTGCAACCGTTGCGTCCCGCTCCTTACTTGAAGAATGTTTTTGGGTTTCAGCGTAAGCTTACCTCACAGTTCAGTGTTTGAATAAACGTATACAGGGCCATGGGTAGTATGTGTTTAACGGAAGTAATAATGCGGACAGATTTTAGCGTTTATAAGTCTAGAGACTTTGGATGGCTTTTCTTGGCATTCCAGTCTGAGAAAACTTACGTTGTTCTTTTGTCACCTTAAGCAATAACTTGGAAGCCATTCAGAACTATGGATTTTAACTAGCTTCATCTTTTGGGCTGAATAGTGATGTTGTATTATATAATAATTTGTTGCAGGTTTGTGGGGAGACAATCGATTTGACAGATCGTATGGACTCACCGGTGGTAAAATGCGCCAAATGTAACGAAAGCACGGTAGAGTATCCATGGATCACTTATCGGCAGTAACCAGTGGAAATAATTTCTCCAGCTGCTAACAGAGTTGTAGTGATGAATCACAACTGCAACTTTTTTTTTGGCTGTTGCCATAGATGGGTATTGGAGAATGAGGCGAAGCGTGGCTGCCAAGCGTTAATAATTAGTTTGTGTTTTAACTAAATCGTTAACTCTCTTATAATGAGGCAGTGTTTGGAATTACCGGTATTTCTATAAAAAAACAATCCGGATGGGTTTCGCTCGATTTTCATTTATTAAAGTACTTTGGAACGATCTTAGTGAAGTTTGTGATGTTCAAATAACACGCGTGTAGCAATATTTTAATGTATTATAAACATTTTAGAATGGTATCGCACTGATTGTGGTAATTATATGAAATACTCTGGATAGCACACGATATAATAGGAAATTTTATGTATCGTTATGAAAATTTTAAATATAATTTTCGCCAACTGTTACAAAACATGCTCAATAATATTATTAATTTCCGTAAGCGGGTTTGTACGGTTTTCACTTCATGAAGTGATAAGCTTGAAAACAAGCGTATTAGCTAGCCATTAGTATAATTTTCGTCACAACCATAATTCACATGAATCATATGATTCCGTCTCTATTGGTTTTGAATTTATTTAGATTACTTAAGTCTTATACTGGTGCATACATATCAATAATTTTTCTTCATGGATAACTTTATATATTGAGCTGCGTGCATTTTGCCCAACCAGCTTCTTCCTTTGCGTACATTTATTGCGTTATTTAAATGGTTAATAATTTGTGACCGCTTTCTCTTTGTACTTTTTTGCCATTGATATGGCGTGGGGTTTGCTTCGTCCGGTCGTGTGCAACATACGATTCCACGTTCAGCCTATACGTTCAGCTCCTCCAGGCAAGAAGTACATTCGTTGCACGTGTCGATGTTTGCTCATCTGTAAGGCCACCGCGCAGAGGGTTTCGTGTCCCAGAAGCGATTGTGGTCGTGTTCTCTACCTGGCGCCGTTACCGAATTCGTTCCCGGGCTACTCTTTACCCGGCCTGTGTTCTGTATCGTGCGGGTATTGTGGGCAAGCTTTTATGTTCAATACGTTTAGCAACGCCTTGGCACGATGCCCCAGCTGTCGCAAGGTACGTGTCAAGCCAAACAACAATACTGGTTTTCAGAACGCCGTATCTCAGCTTCTCTAAATATTTACCTGTATGATGATATGGTTTATCAGCGTTAATTAGTCATCAGTACGATAAAATGTTATAAAGGCTCTTCAGGTCAGAGAGGTGTTCATTACCTATCTTGACTGGGTTGCTTATTAAAAATAATATTATTGCTCAAATATATATACGCTCAAATATAAATCTAAAAGAGCGGCCGCATATACCAAAAATGATATGACTTGTTAATTTAAGGAATAATGTGGCGATGTCTTTATTTAAGATAGCGATTTATAATGATGGGTTAATGGTTCATTATTCTTGAATTGAGTATTGAAACTAAACATCATAACGAAGAGATGGGTAAATTATCTACATTGACCTGGACCTTCTGCAATGGGTTACCCATTCGCAGACCACTATCTGGCAATACCTAAATTTTCGTTCTTTGGGTTTGTTTGTGGATAATAACATTGTTTAGGTGACATCGGTTGGAGCAGAATTTGCCCGAAGTCGTGGCCTCGTCTTTTTCATTCTTTCGCTTTTATCGGCCGTTGTGGGGATTGCCCTCACAGCAGCAACATATAAGGTATAAGCAGAGCATTGAAACAAAATTAATATCACAAGCAGTCATCCTGTACCCTTTGAACCGAAATCAATGTTGATTCAAGTATTGTATCAGGTCGTCTTCATTGTCTGTCGTCAGTGTACCTTAAACATTTTGTATTTTGCTCCCCAACGTTACTATAGTTACGACCATACTAGATAATTTCGTAAACCGCATACAAATTCACTAGCATTGACCGATATTTCTATCTCTAAAATTTTCAGGTAGCGGGTGGACAGAAGGCTTGGCTTGTCGCCTACATTATATGCTTTCTCTTGTTCGTCGTCCTATTCCTGCGAGCTATCTACTATTGTACACTCAAGGTATGTCTACGGAATATTAAAGATACAATGTAAACATACAAGTGTGATATTACTTGTTGTGTTGGAATTTTTCATGGACGTTGTGATTAAAGGACTGACCAAATGAACAGTTCAGATCAGTTTTTCTGCACGGTGCTAATAGTTAGAAACTACTAGTACCATATCAATAGCTACCAATAGTTTAATCGTCGTTGTATAGATAGTTTTAATTAAATCCAAACGATCGTCCGCAGGTAATACGTGGGTGTCGACCATATGGCGTATTCTTCTTCTGCTTAATCACTTTCATGAAGTTTGAAATGAGTATTAAGTTTTCTTCATGCGTGAGACCACACTTATGTATGGCGCTAAAGTTGCCTATGTGTAAATAGTGTACAATAAGAAAAAGCGGATCTTTTATGGGTCGGCCTTTAATTCACAGAAATGCACAACCATTATATCATGTAATCTGTATACAAGTGCTAAGTATTCTTAAAAAAACATTGACATTTAATTGGCTGTATTTACGGTCTGTTTACGTGTTTTTTTTTCAATATTATTTTGTAGCGGACGTTTTAAATGAGGTTAGTGAAAGAGGACACTAAATTTTATTCGTCTTGTTTTGCAGGTATCACATGTAAACGTACCTGGAGGGTCAAATTCGACCGTGGCCTCTCTACAGCCTGACACATTAGGACATGTCAATGCATAAAAACATCAGACTATTTTGAGAGCAAGGTGAAAGCGCGAGGCAGATAGAGCTTGACATATGGTAACCCTGAAACACACTTGCCTTTTTCACGGCAGCAAATGCTGTATCGCCTGACAAGTCATATAGTAACAACTAATACTGTTATTATCTAAATGATATGCCGGAATCTAGACGTGAGCCTAAAATAGGGTTTACACATGATAAAGGGAACGGACGGACAGACCCTAATTAGCTTTTCAAGAATAGGTCGCTGCAGGCCAAGCAGAAATCAGAAGGAATTTCGTCACTTGTTTATTGGAGTTAGGTACAACCAATCAGTCCCCAAACGGCAGACTTCTTTCCGCCATCTCCTGCAAATGTCCAGTGGACTCTCGTAATGAGAAGGGAGTCCGTACCTTATTGAATCTGTACATCAGACACAGCAGTGTAGCATAAGTGGCATAAATCAAAGTGAGAAAAAAGGAAGTGCCAGGAGTCGGCGAGAAGGATGACGCATCGGGACATGCAAGTGATCAGACACTACAATGGAGAATAACAAAAGGGTTATGGAGCAACAACAGAATGCCGGTAACAAACGAAAGGAATAATGGAACGGATTGCTTGGCAGTAAGGGCGCGTCAGGTAGACATGATACGCGTGATCTCTTTGTCTCTGCATAAATTTAGCAGTGGAGGTTTTGCAGATGAGAATGCAGAAGCACGGCAGAAGACGTCATCAAAAATATGGAAGAGGTGACTAATAGACAGCCGAAACAACCCACGAAAGAAAAATATGTAACTAAAACGATAGGAATTCGAGAAGTAGGACACGAAGCAGTGCGCAACGGTCAGTATGCACCGGTGTTATTCTTTCAGAAACACAAACGTAATAATAGGAAATCGAGCTAAGTAGCATAACAACAACCTGGAGGATCGAACTAACTCTAGAGGGATAATATCACGCTAATGACTAGCATGACGAGGGAAAATGTGAGGTGCGCCATTTATCTGTGAATTACTCTATCATGGCATACGGCATCAGGAACAAACGACAGTACATTTGAGCCTTTACAAAGCGGCGACAAGCAACGAAAAGTGACCTAATTACTTGATACAAGTGGATAATTCTTCCTCTCGCATTGCCGATGTGTCTAATGGTCTACGAAACAATAGTTGTACACTGTATGGCTCGACGACTCAAATGACAGGAAGAAATTGCCGTTGTCATCAGTTAACATTCAGTTAATAATTTGATGCAAAAAGATGCCAATGGAGAGCGGAGTTCGAGGAAAGAACAGCCTACAACTAGCCGGCTGTTTATACTCTAGGGTTAAAGACCACTGATTATAGAGTTGTCCTTAGCGTAGATGCTTACGATCATGTATGGGCGTACTAAACCAAGCGCTAAGCGTTCATCGTAGCATCAAACGCACCAATACGTTATAAAAGCCTTGCTCTTCAGTAGCAAACGAGTTATGCTAGAATTATTAAGAACAAAATATTAAGAACGAATATGAGATTGTATATTGAGAAAAGCAGACAACTTATATATAAGAAAAGGCAAACCATGAAATGTGCTGTTGTGAGTTCCTTAACGTCGGTTTGAAGCCGACTCGATTTTAACAGCAAAACGGAGCAGACGGAACGAGAAGGCCGAAAAAAGTATGTAGTTTAAAAAGCATATATACACATGTGTTGAATGGATTAGAGAAGGAAAAAAGAAAGGTGGAGTTGAAGCTTTATTTTTTTGAAAATATAAAAAATGATTAATCTAATTACGACAACAAAAATGCTGATAAGATTATTACCATATTTTAGTCGGCTACCTTACATAATTTATTAAAAGAATGAAATGACTAACTGAGAAGAAAATTAGTCAATGAAGAAATTAGCAACAGTGGTTTCTTCAAGTCGGAATGACAAAATATTATGCTAACAATGGCGGCTTCTGGGTACAGATACTACAGGAGGCAATGAAATAGTAGTACGTTATTAGAGAAAATTGTATCATGATCGGTTCGCTATTATTGTCACCATTGCTGTCCAATAGTTTACGAGATCAAAAAGACGCCAGATGCTCTTTATACGAGTAATAAACCATATAGTAATATGCGCGGATGGCACCATGGTTTATGGTTTGTTAGCCTTCTCTTCATCTGCAGGCGTTATGCCTGTGAAAAAATGATAGAATAGCATTTTCCATATTCGGAACCCCGTATCAACCATTCGGACAGTATATATGTACACGATAATACAACGCTGTGTGTGTGTGGGTCTGTGCGTGTGTGTGATGTATGTACGATGTGTGTATGTCAAAAAGTGCATGCGTGTAATATTTGTGAGACTTTGATCGCAAGAAAGAGGAGTGTCTATATCATTTGATTAAAAAAAGTCGAAGTCGTTATCAGAGTCAGTTTGTTACTGTTACAAACGTAAACTCAAGCAACGTGGTGGATGGCAAAACCGGGCGGGATGAGTACCTTATAGATCAATACCAATAAGTAGAAATTGCATTTTGTTTTCTCTTCAGCTTCAGTGCAAGGCTCCTTTGATCTTTTCGGGCACGCCACGTGCTTGTGATAACGACTGATCGTGGTGTGTGAATATCGCTAATGTAACACATATATGTAACGAAGATTTAAGCTTCAGGCTTTATTGTGGGTTTGTTGCCAACCAAACTAAACCTGTGTACAATTTAAAGCAAGAATAAACCGAATATGAAGCGATTACGAATGTAGTTACGGTAAACAGAATAATAATTACGAACATTTTTATGATCATAATAGGTGGAACAATATTAACTAGAAACAAAGGTAAAAATACACAAACGAATTGAAAAATAGAATAACGATAAGGAAAGCGACGGTCGAACTGAAGATTAACACTCAAGATCCCTTCCCACTAGCGACTTCGTTTCTATGTAGAGCAGGAAATTTCTCTAAGTAATGTCAAAGCTTGAAATCAGATGAGCTGTTAAAGAGAAATAAATAAATACAAACCGATAACGACGAGAGAGCCAATGTAAGCTTTTCGTTACGAACACAAAATCCTTATACATGTTTGACAATATCATATACAAGCAAGCGACAACTGCAGTAAAATAGCCGGGTAATCATAGATTATGCTCAGCAGAAACTGCGAATTAAAAGACAAGTTTATAAAAAATAGTGTGTATATAATGTAAGTAGGTAACAATAAGGGAAGTCAACAACGGCAGAAAAGCTTAAAAACAGCTTAAAAAGATGTACACGCAGCGTGAACCGACGGATACGAACAGTCTCGTCAGCAACTCACCTTGAATAAAGGATTTTTTTAAATGGACCAATTGGTTTATATTTATTTGCGGTTAATTCAACGACAAAAACTCTGCAGATATTAGTTAATTATTGTATTTGATCATGAGCAATACTGTATCAGCTATCAATTATATGTAGAATTAGCGCAATATCTGCGTTTGTTTTTTTTAAACAAGGTCTGCACTTATGATACATTGCTCTCTAGTTAAAATCAGTCAAAATTCCAGCGCCCAATCATTGCAGAAGGGTGGACAGGGTTGCTAATCACATGAAAATAGAGCTCCGAAATAAAGGAGAACGCGATTCAACGTAGTCATAATAGCTGATAAAAAGCAGTAGATGGCTCCTTAAGAAGACTATCTGTTGCGATGAATAGGGCACAGTTCGACCGTTACCTTTCGTTGAGCGTGAATATAAAATAGCTAGCGAGCCACATTACCGATTGCCGACTTACGTGTATTTAGTACATAGCATACATAGAATTGCAAATTATGGGACTCGTTTACAGATGCAACGACAGTACCGCAGTCAATAGTTGAATCAATTGTGTCAATGGACTACCGACATAGATAATCTTGGTTCTATTGAATATACTACCCGTTAGAATTTTTAGAAGCACTCAAGGCTATACCTTATTTTAATGACAATAAGTTTTCCATAATAAAAGTCCATTTACAAACCTGAAATACTTCTGTTTTATTCCCTACGATTCTGTACAACAGACCTTTCAAGAGTAGATAGCCAGGAACGTCAACCATGCTATCAAATCTCATGACCAGCAGAGTAGTTTTAGCCTTGAGGCTGCTTCGTTGATAATGGGCACCACAAAACGCTTCGAAACCGCCGTTTGTGGATCAGTTTACATCTGCTGCTGAGGCTGTAGTCAATAGCTGGCCACGTTACCCGGATTGGCCGCGACGTCGACGAAGCATAGTAATTGTCATGGTGCCTATATATCTTTACTCTTGATATCTCGAATTTTGTTAGGGACAAAAAAGGCACTGCGGCCGCTTAGTATTGGACTAACAAGATTCTTGCGCATTCTCAAGGTCTTTCTTCCAGGCGCAACACGGTCAACCAAATGACGCTAATAAAAGTTAGCCTTTCAGCTCCTTATCTATACCGCGATGTCGACTAATTGAGCATCAGGCAAAAAATCCATACTTCAACTGTGCAAGAGTACTACGAATAGCTGCCATGTTCTCACTTGTCTTTCTGCGAAAACCAATACACCTGGAGCGCATCCTTCCGCCCCCACACAAAAAATTTGGTCATCTTGTTCATTGTTGGGTTGGCAAGACATCGGTGCGGTCCTCTTGCTCACGTCCATTGCAACTGGCTTCGGAACTACTCTTTGAAAAACTGCGATTTCAGTCTAGCGCAACTATGCCCTTATACGTCAAGATCGTTTAAATAGTTTAGAAACGTAATAAGACATATTTCAAATAAGGTATCTATGTTATATATATATATTGTAATAGCTATCACGTTTCGGTGATTCATATGGCATTGCATTCGGTATCGTCTTGTTCCTTTGGACGCAATTATCGACTTGAAAAGAGTTAATTTAATAAATTATTAATCACTGCAATAGCTATATAGTTATTGCCAAGTTACTGTTCAAAATTAAATAAATAGAAGTGATTGTTTGAGAACACAGGATGTGTGCATGTAAGTCCGAATGCGCAGCGTGGTTTTTATGCCTTTCGTCATTGTGCCCGTATCGCACAACATTAAAACAGTTACGACTGATACGAAATGCCCCATACTACTCGCAAAGCAACTCAATTCGATGTAAAGTGATCCACATTTTGCGATTTTTATCTTTCATTTCTAATGAAGGTTTCGTATATTATGCTGCAAGTATACATCTGTATAATATATTGATATCCGTTATAAAAAAAAAGTGAAGAAAACACGAGTTGTTTACACTGAGGAAAAGTGCGGACTTCAGAAAGCACCCCTAGCGCGTGTCCGTAGTCCTTAGCTTATAAAACTCACGAAATCTGCTTAGCTAACTGCATTCGTGTAACACTGGCTTCCAAAATTTGTGGATAATGTTTAAGTTATTATAGGTTCAACCGGAATCTACTCGATAACTAAAAAGCCGATCAATTCCTTGCCTAGGTCCCGGTTTACAAAAACTAGTTTGTAATGAAGTAATGGTAATAAAGAGACTGCAAGATCTGAGTTCTAACGTCTAGGTTAACTCGGTATAATCCTTCCTTCCTCCGGCTAAGCATCATCACCGCTCGTCTCACGGACAAGTACCAGTGGCTGAGTGACCCAGTTTTGATTCCAGGAAGTACTTCGCATACACAACAAGACTAAACTTTTCTCGGGCAACAGCATACCTAATGGCATAGAGTTTTATATGCAAAGGTACTTCGAAGTTGTTGCTTGTCCTCAGAATTTGCGCTTTATAAGCGGTGCTCATTTCAAAATATGTTTTGCCCCGTTAATTGTTGCAAACATTAGAAGCAGCCATAATTCTTCGTATGAATATAGATACCATATCTTTAATCAATCGTTATCTATTGTTTAAGATATCATACACCTCCGTTAATTTAAATGTTTTGAATTTCACGTTAGGCACCGCCGTTAGACGGCTGACTTCCAGCACGATATAAGATGTGTCTATTCCCGCGTTCCAACTGAGACCATCACGCGTCCCTATGATTCGCACAAAAATACGTTACCTACTAAGCCATCTCGATTCTTAGTGGCCAGCTGTGCATTTGTCAAACTTTGCAGTGAACAAGCAACTGAAATTAGCACTAAAAGCCAAATAATTGTTGTTGTTGAAAACAGCTGTTCTAAATGTTTTACGCACGATCCGTTAGGTCTTCGATTGCACGGCTGGTTCCTACCACGAAACGACGCGTGGAACGCCACGTGTCCTGTCAGTGAAGCAGGAAAACACGTTATGTGTTACACCATCATGGAGACGGGTGTTAACCTTCCCAAACTTATCAAACTGCAAGACCTTTATGCTCGGTAAAATCACTGGTATATTTAAAATAATATCTCAAACTATTTTCCAAAACTTCAATCTGTTGGCCAAACAAATGTCCATAAACTCTACTTATATTCTGTTCTTTTCTGAAACACTATATTTCAGTGGTATGGATGAAGTCAGGTTTATATTTTATTCTACACTAATTAAACTAACCGTAGCGTGCATTAATTCAGTGGCGCGAAAACTGCATATTCATTTCGTTAAACGTATATGCGTACTATACGGTTATCGACCGTTTTCAAGGACAAATCGTAGGCATTTAGAGCCAGGACTCGGTCACAGGGGATTTTTTTATTGGCCCCTCTGCATACCCAAATTAAGCTTTTCTATTACGTTTAAGCCAATCCGTTGGTTGGGAAGAGCTATTAATAAGCACCGAGGCAGCCAGTTATCTAGGACACAGACATGATAACAAAGCTGCGTAATAGGTGGCGATTATATGTAGCATATTAATTCAAAAAAGCCTTTATTTAAGGAGGAGGATATCGTTCATGAACACAGTTTGGAAGAGCACAACAAATGGTCCATTCTGTCGGTGATTTCAAATAAAAACTACGACTCAATGGAAAGGTAGTACTAGTTAAATCATCAAAAAAAGAGCTTAAATTCTTTATTAGGTAATATTCTAAAGGCGACGTTGTTGTGTAATCAACATAATTAAAGTTTTTGCTAGGTTGAAGCATAAAAACACAAGACTGTCCTCCGTACGATACGTATGTGCATAACCTGAGCTTTTGTGAATAGGTACACCTGTTTTTGTAGAAATGTGAGGCTTTACGTTGGCCGATATGCTAGGTAGTTTCTTCCGTAGAGCCTCTCTAATTGTAACGTTAGATAAAAAAAGAAAACATAAGTTCCACATACTAACTCAACTGGGGAACGGTTATTTCACGAGGCAGGTGTATTTGACTTCGCTGTGGGTCAGCTAGTTTGCTAATCAGCCAATAACTCTGCTTTCGTTAAGTACCGTCTCGTCAGATTCATCGAACGTCGAAGTCTTACCTACTTAGGGATTCGCCAGCTGCCGGCGAGATTGTAGCTGAATAACTGTCGAGCAATTTTTGGCTCCTTTTTCGATCAGATGTTGATGTTTACGATGTTGCTTTTATTGTTGCTATTATTGCTGCCATTGTGGTTGTTATGTATCGGTGTTACGCAATTCGTCTTCTAATAACGCGATGTTCTTCAACCGGGCCACGATCCAATGACGATGGCTCGAGCCACAACGGCTATAAGGTAGTGCCAACTACTAAATCATTGTTAATGCACCATTAGGCGGCAATCGACGACGTGATGATATGAATTCTGTGTGGCGGCCTCATCCGTTGGTCGCTTTCGCTAAGACCGTAATAGACGGCTGCATTTGAGCTCGTATCTCTGCTTTGGTCGGCTTTTTTGGTCTAAATGCAGGCCCCATAAGTGGGCGTGTGGAAATAAGGATCACTACGAATTTTTGAACTCATAAGTATAGGGACTCTTCACGCGTAGATTCAAAGACAGAGTCTAAATGTCATGCCTTCAGCTACCGCATGAGTGTCCTACGTGTAAATTGTAGTCATACAGCCTTATTGAAAACATTTACATGAGTTCATGACGAGGCTTTTGAACAGCTTAGGGCTGCATATTCGTTCACATACATGCAGGTATAGTAAGTCAAGTCTACGTGGGCCGTTTTTCCATTCGTAGAATTTTTTGGATTACGACTTTTGTGTACAACTCAGCACGATTTTTCATAGAGAACAACAATATGAATTGATATGGTTCCGGCGTTTATCGCGTGTAGTTTTGTGTATAGGTACATACTAATGAACAGAAATTTGCTTTCAGATACTAGCTGAGGCCATTATTCTTTAAAAAGGTCAAATTATTGAAATTTGATTAGAATGTGTGTTCGACGTGCTTTGAATTCAGGCTTGTTTGTTTAGTATTGTTCTACCTGAATTAGGCCGATGTGGCCTTGCGTCATTACGAACTGTCTTCTATAGATGGAAAACAAAGCGATTTGC